CCCTTTGCTTGTGCACCATATTGCGTTACTGGACCCAAAAGGCTTCTGGATCAGATGTAGCCCATGGCCTCCAGCTCTGGTTGTCAGAGGGATTCACGCCCGCTGGTTTGAGTCAGACCTACCCCAGCGTGGCATTAGACATATCAGAGACTTCTCTCTCCTCAACCCTTCTCCTTTCCTTTCAGGCAGGCCCTTGGTTGTTACTGGCACTAGTTCAGTGTGTTGCCTTACCATACTCTCTGCTGGTAACATCACACTCGCCACCGACCTGCGATGGAGCCGGTCTAGGGGGTAAGGCAGGTCCTGTTTTTCCAATATTGTATGTTTTTCTTAAGTTTCCTATTCCAACATTTCAGTATTTAGGATATGAGAGAAGAATATAATTTAAATTTTAATTTAGAAAAAAACAATATTGGAAAAAAGGGACTTTACCCCTTTAGCCTGTGGGAAAATAGCTGCACATTTTCTACCATAAGTTTTCCACCGTTGTCTCCACTAGTTCACCTCCACCTCCTACTTCGGTGATCCTGGGGTAGATGTGGATGCTAGCACCTTCTCACCTGAGCTCCAGCATCCTTTTCAGAGCATGGCATGCAATAAAAGAGCTGGAAATGCTCGAGCATCCCATCTGCATTAGATTAACCGGTGGAGCACTCCAGGGCGATGGTGGTGGGAAACCACGGTGGAGTGAAATCCTTCCAGACCAATGTAGGCTAGAGGCTGAGCTCACTCTCCCGTCAAACACGCATGTGGCTGACGGAGGAGTGGTGTGTCACCAGCAGAACGCGTGCGGAGCGTTGCCCAAGGAGCCGGCAGCCACCAAGGGGTGACGGCACTTTATCAACCTGGAAAAGGAAAGGTGAAAGGTAAGTAATGAACAGCACTCCTCGAGCGCTCAGGACCTGGCATTAGCGTGCGGAGCAGTTTTACATACCCGAGCACGCTCTCCTGACCTCGTATTCAGATGAGTAATTCAGCTGAACTCAACAGAACTGCTCACGTGAGGTGAATTTCTATAATGACGAACTGGCAGAATCAGGAAACGGCTCTTTCAGTCGCACCGTGATGCAGAAATACCTAATTCTGGTGCTTGGCTGGAAGTTGCCGTCTCGGCTCGTTCCTACCAGCCATCCTCACAGTGAGGTGGTTTCCCAGAATGGTTATTTTTTCAGTACAGGGAAAACATGTAGCATTCATTGGAAATGCATTCACCCTGCTGTCAGTATAAATTGCAGACTTTTTGAGGGTATTGAAAGATGAGAATCAGTGAATTGAGCCAGGAGACCTGATGAATTTGCAATCCCCAGCTACCCTTTGTACCACTTTATCAGGGATTGCTGCCCCCTTCCCTCTCCGTCAGGACTGGTTTAGTGGCTTGAGCAGCAGTTCCTGAACCGGTGCAGTTTACAGCCCTGCATAATAAGGTATGCAGAGACCACGGCCCGCTTACCTTGTCAGACTGGAAACTCTGAGAAGCCGGGAACTGAATCGCATGCAGTTTAACTGTCGCTGCCACGCAGCAAAAAAGATCATGGAGGTAACCCAGCCGCCCTAGGGGGGTAGTCCGCCAACACTTCTGAGTCAGACACCTAATCAAAACATAGTAGTGTTCCATTTCACCTGGGTTTTAGGACTGTTGTCATTCCGGATCACGGCTGTATCATCAACAGTGACATCAACACCAGCTTCCTTGGCAAAAAACAAGGAATGCAGAGGAAAGTTCTGTTTATTGTTCCCCATGTCCCCCCATCCCAGATATCAACTCTGAATGAAGTTAGAATAAAAGCATGACTCACCAGAGATTTACCTATAGAGTAAATGGTTCTGAGCGCTTCATTTAAGCGTACAAACCTCCACGGCTTATAGGGTCAGGAGAGCTGCGGTGTCTCCTCCTTTCTGTGTTTGCTCCATCACAGGATGAACGACTACGCATTTCACTGTGGCTTGAGACATGAGCAAGGACGTTCCTTAAATCTCTTGGGAGTGGTTTTTACAATCCCCAATGTAATCCTGGATTTTCCCCAAAAAGCTGATTCAGGAGGAAAAAGAAAAGTTTTAGTTCTGATCATATATTTGGAATTGGCAGTGTCTTCTCGGTTCTTCCTGCCACTGGTTAAATAAAAGAGCTGTTCTTCTCTTCACCTCCTTTTCTGTCATACCCAGGAGCCATGTCAGTTATTTAGATGCTTCCTCAGGAAGGAAACATATAGTAGCACTTTGGCATCTTAAACAGCTCAAAATATATCATTCAAAAGTAATCATTAGCAAAACACTATTTAGCTAGTGGCAACTTGCAAATATTGCAAAGTTTAAATTAATAGCAACAAGAATGGGAAATGAAATCGTTTATTATTCTTGAGAGCCAATTCTGTACACTTTTTATGCCTTGAAACTACTTTCTAATCTTATTATTTAAAAAATAATGACCCAGTCTTATTATTTTCTTTTTCTTTTTTTTTTTTTTTTTTGCCAACCTATCAAGCCTTAAGTATGTTGGTTTCAAAATGGTTTGAGCAAAACCTCATTAGAATTATATGCTCCATCTGTTTTTCTCATTGGAAGCTTTATAAAATGCTCCTTCAAATAAATCAAAGATAACTGTGTGAAATACTCAAGTAATATGCTTGTTTTGTTCTCTTTTGTTTTTTGTTCACTCTTTGCAGTTAAAAAGCGCCAAGGAATTAGCAGAAATCAATGGGCACGATGAATCTCAGGCAAATGTAGGTACAGCTATCTATGTATAGATTTAGAGATATATGTATCTATGCATGTGTATGGTCTCAAATTTACTATTTATGTCTTAAAGCTGATAGAATGGCTGAATGATTTGCACATCAGGTTTGAAGTGCCTGGTTTTTTTCCTGAACCCACAGGTTCAAATCCCAGCAAACTTCATTTCGAGGTAGATAAATTGGGTTCCATGCAATTTACTTTGTAGGATTTATTTGGATGAGACTTTAACAACCAATGTCCTACTTGCTGTATGTGGGTGTTAAAGATACCATGGAAACGACTGCAAGAGAAATGCTTTGCCTTAGTGTCCTGTCCAGGATTACTCAAGCTACAAAGTTATACTGTTTGTCTCTGTGGCTGCCACCTTGCAGCTGAGCAAGTCTGGCCATATTTCAGTTCTGAGTGAAGTGATTCGTATACGTGTGTAATTTGGAAACAGCTCATTTGCGCAAGAGGACTACATTAATTCATTGAGTCATTATTTTGTCCCAAATCGTTAAAGGACTTGTTAAGGTCATGTTTTTTTAAAACCTGCTGCCAAAAAAAATGCTTCTGGTATTCCCTTAATGATTGCAGTCAAAACAGCAATTTGCATAAGGGGAGAGAGAAAAAAGGAAAACTTCCCTGCTATGTTTGTCATCCAAACCATGCAGCTTTGTGCTTTGTCATAAACATATGAAAATTAAAACTGATTATATTCTATATCTTCCTCCTAGCCAAGAGAACTAGCAACAGTCTGAACACTAATATATTTTAACATCTATTTCAGTCAATGTGTTGTCTAATGGCACAGCCAGGAAAGCGGTTTTATTTTAAACCTGAATGGAAGGCTCAAATTTTCTGGACTGCTTTGTGATAAGAAAAGGTTGTCCTCTCTTTTTTAATCCTTTCTTGAATCTCATTCATTGTGGTCTGTTTCCGCAGTGAAGTCGATAGAGCCTCATAGCTCTCAGCATTTGGACAGGAGACATTCAATATTGTCTGATAGCTCCAACAAATCTGCAGTTGCGGTCTGTCTGCACAGCGTCTCATTGCCCCTTTGAAAGATTCTGTTTGCAAACCAAAATAAAGACATTAATCCACCGATGATCTTGAAATGCTCATATTTGCTACCTAAAAACTTGACTTTGTACAACAGCTGGTTGCAGGTTTCCTAGAGGAATTTAGAAATGTAAGACTTAGAAACTTTCTAAAGGAACTTGCTTCCTCTCCAAAAATGTGGATGAAACAATGTTTTGCAAGACTGAAATGTTTTAAAAGAAAATTACCTAAATGCTTCAACTTTTATCTTTCTGGCTCATATGTAACTGGATAAAACAGAAAAGCCTGAAAGTTTTATTTTTATATAATGCAAAGTTTGAAATAACATTAAAAATGAAGCATTTCAATCGCATAAAGAGAGTGTTTCAGTATATCATTCCCAGATATCTAAAACAAAGATTTCAGAATCTTTGGTTAATGGTAAATTTTTCAAAATGTAATATTTTGCTCCAGTTTGTAATTGTAGGAATTGTTCAAATGCCTGAATTTTCCATAGAATAGAAACTCTATTTTCTGCCCCTCTTTTCCATGACCTTTCCCCATGATCTCATAGCAATATTAGACTGCTAAGAAAAGAAGTCAATAGCTAAATTAATGGTGAAAAGGGAGACCAGACAGCTACAATTCCCGAGTCACGGTTGCAGCCAGGTATTCAACAATTATGCCACCATGAAATACAGAAAGCACAGCAGCACAAATGGAAATAGAGAAATAGAGGGAAAGAACTGATGTTAAAGCATTTGCTACAGTAATGAACTTTGTCAAATGGAAGTTGAGGTACCTTTTAAACAATTGTCATTTATATCAAATATGTAGTGCTCAGGTGTTGAGCCTTGCAGGTTGTCTCTCCACATCTATTCTCAGCAGACTTCATGGTTCTTGCCCTTGGCCAGTGTGCAAATCTGCGATGATCAAAGAGAAAAAGGCTTGGTGGCTCCTACGTGGTTGTTAGTGAACTGTGATGCATATAATGGGATTAGGACATATTTGTTACAGTTGACAGGTTGAATTCAGCAAATGAAATACCTTTACATGCTGAGCAATAGTGGGAGGTGTTGGTAAGGAAAAATGGCAACGTATGTCTATACACTGAACACACAATCTAATCTTCACACTATGGCATATTTAGATTACTCTGCAGAAAATCAGGCTCCTAGGAAGGACAGTAGAAACTTCAGGCACACTGCATACACATCAAGAAAGCCCATACTGTAATCGTAAAAAGATTATTTTCTGCAGTCCTCAGGCTTTCTGCTGATGGCACTGGTCTGCATCATATTTTACATTAGAAAATACTGTTTCTTAAAATAAAACATGGAAATATTTTTCTTAGCAAAAGCAGATACAGATAGATGAAAATATATACTTAGACCTATCCTGGTGTGTCTTCTACATTTCCATTATGTGACACAATCCTGAAAGGGAAACAAGGATCTGGACACCTTTGGAAAAAGAAAAACATCCTTCCTGAAATGTTCCCAACCTATAAATGGACCAGTCTTGAGTTTTTTCTCTTGTTTTTGCAGGAGAATTGAGCACAGTTAACTAAGAGGCTGGAGCGATTGCAATGTTACCCTCCCTGCCGTGGCAGTTCAAACACAAATCTAGTGGGGGGGGGGGGAACAGAAATTTTAGTGTATTGCCTGTACATCTGTTATTTCCAGAAAGCAAAACCATCTTACAAGGCTCTGTGAACAGTCATAAGGGTGTTTCATGAGTGACTTGCCAAGTACATGCAGTAATATTTGTTATGGCTGTTGACATTTCCCAGCTATACTCTGTGTCAGGAAAGGCCAAATGTCAGGCTCAAGTGGTTCATAAAGCCCAAAATCCTGGCCTGGTGTTAACAGAGACTTCAACACCCAGGACTGCCAGAGGTGCTGTCACGGAGCGTTCATTTCCTTCAGCCCTGCAGTTAGGAAGAGATTACTTCTTGCTTCTAATCTGGCCCCCTTTTAATTTCCTCTTCATTGCTGCATATAACGATATTTAATTCACATCTCTGTCTTAACTGAAGAGAAAATAATGGCCAATGGACAATTATAATTTCAGATATAATCTTCTTCCAGGATGTTCCCAGACCCTTGGGACCTGATTAGTCCCAATGTGAAAAAAAAATCTTGCTTGGGTGGTGTGCTTGAGTAGAGAACATTGTGCAAACTGAAAATGTTGATCACGTGTTTTGTGGCTAATGCTATAAATGCCATTTATTCTTCCACTGTTTCTGTAAGTTCAGTGGCTTTCTGTGGAGCCTCTTGGATATAGGTTAATTCTGTGTTTTGATCAAAGATCTGCTTTTGCTCACTGCTGAATTCAGTATACATAGGGCACTGCATGCAAATACAGTTATATAGCCTGGGTGAATATATCCCTGTTTTGGGGGTGGGAAGGTCAACATCCATAGTATCCCTCTATTGTTAATGGAGAAAAGGAGATTTTTTTTTTACACAAGCCTCATTTTAGAAGTACTCAGTGATATTCTTCCAGGAGTTTGCTGCTCTCCCTTGACAGCTATCTGCCTTCCTTAGATAGCTCCTGTGAATAACTCCTACCCTTTGTAAAAGTGCCATAAAATGGTAGTCAAGAGTATCAGTCCTCCAAGTTCAGACCAAAGCAAGAGATGGGTCATGGTCGCAGAAGCACTTTGAATGTCCAGATTGCAATTGCATGGTAAAGTCCTGACTCTGTTGAAGTCAATAATTAAATTCCCATCAGGTTAAAAAGCCAGGATTTCACCAAAAGAATTTTAGGGTTACTTCATTATCAGCAAAGCATAATAAAATGAATATATTTCAGAGGGTGAAACGGATGTCACCACGAGTTTTTTTTACCAGCTTTTTGTTCTGTGTCAGTTCCATTGTTTGAACAAAGTAATGACTTTGACCTCATTTGTCTGTCTGCCTCCAGTTAGCATCTCCAGCAGCTTGAACACAATATTCCGTGGGTTTTTATCCAGACGTGAAATCAATAATATTAAGTAGGGATGCATTTTTCCATTTGAATGGTTGAAGCTGTTATCAGAGCATTTCTCAAGTTCAACCAAGCATCTTACATTTGATGTTGATTCTTCCTTTAATTTTCCCCCTCCGTATCTGCTTTTCAAGCAGTTACCAGATGATCCCTGACTCTGAGGAGGAGTATACCCAGGCTGAAATATTTCAACCATTTTACTAAATTGCTCACTTTATGCTACACTCAGTGATGTTATTCCTAACTACACCCTAGTCTTCTCTTCTCACATAGTGTGGTTAATCACTGAAGAATTTTACCAAAGACAAGTAAAGACCACTCTTACATGAGGCTCATTTTTTGCAACAAGCTGGGCAAAGATTTAAAAAGCTAACCCCCTTCAATTTTTGGAGAAGTCTGTAATTCCATCAGGCTTGTCAGAGTGCAGTTCCTGTACTTCACTATGCAAACCTTTAATGGAAGCATCCAAGGGTACCTGCTGTGACCGTCCCATGTCAGTGTACGTGTTTATACACACCAGCCATAGGATGGGGAACCTCCGTGCTGTGTGACTGCCTCGCATTGAGCCAGGTGAGATGAAAAGAGCCCTTGAACACAAGGAGAGGAGGGGGAACTAGAAGAGTGCAACGCCTGCTCAAATCGTCCCAGTGGTTCAGGACTACGGGACAAAAGTCGGTCACCTTTATTGACGACGATCCCAAGCGATTGCTGATGCTTTTGCTTCACCTCCTTGTGAATGCAACAGCCATTCCCTTGCTAGACCACCTTCAAAAGCCTTGCTCTTCCCAGAACAGCACAGGCTCGCGATAAAAATGTGCTCAACGTGGCTAATATAAGAGCAATTTGGGCCTGAAGTTACTGGCCAGAAAACCCCAGGGCAGGGCTTGCACAGGTCGGGAAATGCGTGTTTTTTCTATTCGAGCTTCCCAGGTTTGTAAGCTGTGAAGCTCAGCAAGCTGACGTGAGTCGCTGAGGA